CTGGTCACTTATCTCTTTTGAAGGTGAAAATACCGTAACTAGAACGTGATCATCCTTTTTGATGCCCATTTGCTGAGCTAGCTTTTGGCTCGCCGGCGTTACTTTAGCATCGCGTACTATATTATAATCGATATTACTATCGGTTGCAGTGCATTGTAGTGTTATTTCCGTATAACTATCATAATTGGGATCGGTAATACAGATGCGTGCCAAGCGGGTTACATAACCCGCTTCGTCTGCCAAATGGGATTTTTTTTGTACGATTATAAAGTATGCATAATCGGAAGAGTTGAACCCGTAGACATAGTCGACAAGAAAATGATCACGATACTTGACGTCAATATTGATAATCGATTGCTGAATTGAAAATTCTGCGTAGTTTAAATCATTAAGGCGACGAGAAGAAATGGCCGGGACATCATGACGATAATCCCCAACATTGGTGAAGGTTGTGCCCACATATAAAATATCTTCTTCCTTCCAGGAATATCGGGCGGGACCCACAAATGCATAGGTAGAGGCATTTTCGTCATTGGCGGCCAAAGGAATGGCAATAAATTGTGCGGCTGCTGGAAATCTTGGAAGGCTATAAATCTCACAAGAACCTATAAAAAGATAGGAGATTTTCAGTAAATAAGAATTAAATATAACAAATGCCAGGGTATATTAAATGACTATAAATATTTTTATTTACCTTGTCGAGTGCTACCACAAGAAATAAGAATTCCATCATGGGCATAGCTCACAACCAATATTTTATTATAAGTGTTTACCAGCGTTGTTTCAATATCCTCGTTACACCCGCCAGCATGGCACTGCGGTGAATCATTCAAAGGTCCTGTTACTGCCTCCGCGAGCACACGAAGGTTTTCATTAAGTTTTAATATCTTATTTGTGGCGCCCGCAAATAAAACATTGTTCATTAAATCGTAAGTAAGATGTGTAAAATAGTTTTTCGATTGTGAGTCTGCGGCATTTTCTACATTATTTGTACGATTTCCTCCAAGTAAGTTCGAAGAAGTAATCGGGGCCATTAAAGGCAGGTTAAATTGTGCTACAATATCGTTTGTTAAGAACGGAGGGTTGGGTTGCGGCGGCGGCATTTGTTTGCATCGCACCGAGTGTTGTCGCCAATCAAGCAAGTGGATAATGCCGAAGCCATAAATAAAAATGATTAAATCTGCACACATTACATATTTTCGTAGCATTTTTAACACACAATTGGCAAAACTTTTGCGATTTTGCATTTAGTTTAGAGTAAAAACATACTCTTTCACATTTTATACAATAACATAATCACTCCGTATTAAACACAAACGCTGTATTTATTTTATGAGTGTTTATCCGATGCACATAAGTAGCTTTATTAACTTAGTACTTTGAAATTAACATAGTTCATTGGAATTATTCAAATGTTATGGATTTTTAATGAAATAAATGTGGTTTTTAGATTTCTATATCGACAAATATGTATACTTATTTCCATAGTGTTTGGAAATTGCAACACTAATATTGTAGTGTGGCCAGATTTAATTTGAATGTTAAGAACAAAATCGTAGACCACACCGTAATAGGTTCCTCTCACAGAAATCCATCTGCCTTCCTCCATCCATTAGGGATGGTTTATAAGGTTTTGCGTTTCCAAAATTTTTTCATTTTGTTCTCCATGTTCTCATTTTGTTTTGCCGATTGGCAATAGTTTTTTGATGCATTTCTGAATTCTTCTTCTTGTTCGTGAAAATTTAACAATTCGCTACGAAAATTTAAACAGAGACAGTAATGAAACAGTGTTTTACGGTATATTCTAGCCCTAAATTGTGTCAAATGGCTGCTATTTACTAAAGACCTCGAATTTATTCCTTATTTTGAATCGATTTTCTGGGCCTGTACAACAATGCAAACTCTTGGGGCATTTGCTCTTTGTTAAAGAAAAATCAAAACCAACCAAATCCTAGTCAACTAATTTATTTTAATATAGTGCCAACGTAATCTGCCCCAATTTGCATGTTTTCTGTTGTTGGCGACTTATTACGCTGAAGCCATTAAGTTTTGTTGTTGTTTAACTTTTGGATGAGCCATAGCTGTTCGATCAGCGTTTATCGGATAGAGATGTAGCTCAGTTAAGAGTTTCACATCTCCAAGCAGAAGTTTAATTAGTAATAACTGACTTCAGCTGTGTTTTGTAATTAAATTTAATAATCTACTATATAAAACTAAGTAAAATGACTATTTAACTCCAGAACGTAAGAACCAAGCCTCCGTGAGGCTTACAGCAAGGAAAATTCAGGAAATCCATCTCTGATATATAGCATGTACTACAAACCAATATTTTAAGTAATCGATTCTTAGCCTTTCAATTTGCAACAAAAAATTTTTATTCAATTTCAACAGCAGACATTTTTCTTGTGGTAAGTTCAACTGTGTTAATTATGTGGATCGTGCATTTGAGGTTAAATTCATCACTCTCTCCATAGTCCAAAATGCCTAAAGAACGGCGTGCGAACAACAAGTGTATTCCCAGAACTTATGCGAAAAAGACAAAATATAATAAGAGAAAATGTCCTATTGAGACAACGCGTAAGCACACGATCATCTTTGGCATTCCAATATGATCCCACTGCGAACTACAGTGATGATGAAAATTTAGATATTGGACCAATGACGCTGGATATGCCCATGTTGCAATGCGTTATATATATCATTTGCGCGGATGTAGGGTGCTAACACAAATTGAACCGCATCAATTTCTACAAAGATATTCGTCGATGGTGAATCAGCTGAATGTGCGGTGCAATATACAGGGAACACATCAAGAGACGAATTATTGAACAGGTGCAAGCGTGAAAATATACGATAATAATGCAGTAGTAAACATGTTTAAAACAGCATTGGAATGAATGCCATCGGATACGCTCAACTTTGTCACAAGAGTGGATTGTACCCCAACAGGTAAACAAGTGCGGAGATTTAATGCACCCACCATTAATGATGTTGCTGCCAATATATTTGGCGATCCAAATAAATCGCGAGTCATTTTCGTTCAGCGAAGACGCAATATCATGCATGGTGCAATCCTGCAATATCCAATAATTTATTGGAAAGGTCAAGACAGATACGACGTCAAGTTGAAGATGGTCGATTCAATTTCAGGTACAACATTTACAAATTAAGTATTGCTATTGTTGCTATTATTGGTTTCAATTAACAATTCATTTAGTTTTGCATTTTCATGCGTATCAATGAATAAAAATCTAAGCGCAATGAATTACTATGCGTATCGACTGATGATTCGTACACATGAGGAGAATGTCATTCTGAAGTACCTTTTGCTGTACCAGCAATTCGCTGTCGACATGTACATATGTAAGACCTAACGTTTAGCGTTCATCCGATGCAATCAGGCTAAGCTACGATAAGAGGACTGTAACTATATTCACTTGCGTGCTATTCATTCAGATGAGGTTGTTCAGAATATTTGACGTCTGACGATTCTCCTTTTATCTTATATCTAAAGACGCTATGACGTACGTGCGAAATTATGGAACTCCGGATCACATGCAACCCATAGTGGACGGAAATTTAACATGAGATGGAAACGGCCCAAAAACCGTAAGATAGCCATGACCTAATCGCCGGAATGTTTCAGCAAAAGCTCAAGGTTACGATGTATGTGCTTACTAAGTATCGAGTTTTAGATGACACAAGTTATTATATGTTCTCGATGGAATGGTAGAAGCGTGGTCTACCGCAAGGTTATATCCTAACATCATATCATATTCACTTCATATCAGCTGAAATTCCAGTTCCAGTCACTTATCCCCATCTTCACGACATTGTGACGACACAGATGGTGAATGGACCGTGCGGTGGATAAAATCCATAATCGCCATGCATGTCTGATGGAAAGTGGCCAAAACGATATCCGCGTTGTTGATATTGCAACGACTTTGCAACGGTACTTGACTTTCGGTAAAATAGAGTTATGCCGAATTTGATTGAAGCAACCATTATTAATGGAAAGTACGCGGGTAAAAATGTATGTATTCCTCGAACACCAATGATTCTGACTGATCTTCCGTTTGACTTCAAACGATTGCAATTTCCAGTACGCCTTGTATTCGCAATGACAATTAACAAGTCGCAAAAACATTTTTTTCAAATGGTTATACATTGCGTGTTAACAAGTTGGGAATTCATCCTCTTTGTTTGTGTTAACGTCAGACCAAAAATCATAATAAGTTGTCTTCCAAAGAGCCCTTCAATAAAACGGATAAAATTATCGGACACCTTTAATGCTTTTTGTAATCGAAATGAATTCAATATGCAGTCGTGAAATAAAATAAAAGTTTTTCCATTCAAAAATAAAACAAAACAATGTATGTTCTTCATCTTTTAATTGCCAAACGAAATGTTGCATAAAATGAAGCTATCTGGTGGCGAAACGGAGTTCGCCGGGCTTGCTAGTATAATATGAAGATAAATTCGAACGGATTAAATATATGGAATTGAAAGGCAAGCATCCGAAGGCGTTACACCCGACTCCTCCCACTGACAGATTATTCTCATATTCTCATTTCAAGTACCTTTTGTGAATTCATATTATGGGCCTTGTCATTCCGCCATTTATTAATTCCAATTTCCATTTCTTTCGGTTTCTTTTTTTGTTCCGGCAACGCTTAACATTTTTCGCTCGAAACATTGATTTTATGTTATGTTATTATTTAAAAAATATCGATATATTAATATTTGATAATTGTCAAAATTTATGTTGTATTTTTTTATATAATATATATGTATGTGTATATAATAATTTAATTAACTTTTTTACCAATTAAATATTATATATAAAAATGTATTGAAATGAAAAAATCGTGTGTTATGTAAGTTAACACAAAAATCCACACATTTCATTTTATTTCCACTAATGATCTAAATGTTAAAGAGTTGAGAATTGTTGCTTTCAAAACCAAATCCATACATCGATAGACAGTTTCGATTTTTTGCCAACACCGTTACAACTTAGCTCTGCATTTGCAGATATTTATCTGACGATGCCGAAATGATTGAAATTGAGTGATCTTGGATAAATTTATGTAAATGTATATTAAAACAAGCAACGGCTACACAAGTAATATAACCTATTTGTATCTGATAACAGTTCTTTTTATCAAGCAGCACAAAATCGGGTACATGTTCATGTTTTTACATACATATATATATATATGTGTACATGAATATGTGTGTGACCAAGTGAAATGTTCAACATCTACTTACATTTAAAAACGGTAAACAAGCGTTTATTTTATTTGTATAAATTTATACCATATTATTATTAGTAACCTCTTTCTAGATTACAAATGGATCTGACATTGGATAATTACTTTTCTCATCTTAATTCCCTGTCTGTTAAAATTGCTTGTGATATAAATGGAGTTAAATCAACGTATGACAGAGAAACTTGGCGTTCATTAACTTTGAAAAATCAAGAAAACGTACTGAACAGTTATTTTATAAAACCAGATGTACAAAATAAGTACAATAACAAATCGATTGCGAAAAAAGCTTCTCAAGTAAAGACTAACTTGGTTTATTCATATAACGGTCAAGATTTGCATACTTATGGTTATCAAAATATTGGTATGAAAATGTTGCATGATGAAACCCATGCTGGGGAGTGCAGGGATGAACATTCGTTTCCATTTAGTTATCGCACTAAATCTCAAATAAATATTCCATCTATAGAATCTATTAGAGCGGCAAGCACACTAACTGATGTCTCAAAATCCGTACAATCGATTCAATCTGAAGCTCTTAACAATACTACGAAACTATCTATTATAAATAATACCAAAACTCATTATAAGAGGGATGATTATCAAATTAAAAACAGTGTTGGACAACACGATAATGATAAGGAAAGTAATGAAACATCACAGTTACTATTAAAACGTCTTGGAACAAAAAAAAACATTTTGGGTGATTTCTCTGATAGTGATCCCGAATTTAAAGAAGGTAGCGGCCAGGAGGAGCGGGATAAACTTTTATCTCCGGCTCTACATATACCGCAAGGTTTTGACTTTCTTAATAATTGGTAAAACTAACAACTTATTCCTAATTCAAACATTTTTAAAATATATAATTGTAATATCTTAAATAAATAAATAACAATACAGTGCGAAAATGCTTATTACAGGTTGGTAACTTCATATACATAACAGGACGTTGAAGTTTTTTATAGCCTTATCCTTTGCAATTGTATCTTGAAAACCAATCTGTTATGGTCAAAGCCGAACAGAAAAATATATAACATTTACAAGGAAAATCATATAGGTTCTTATATATATTTATGTATATAACAATTTGCCCTTTTAAAATCGTTGCTTTAATTACACTGTTCATCAGTTTTTTTTGGCGGACAACCGCGAGCCATTGCACAATTTCGGATGATTCAGATGCCGCAGCATAATTATGGTTGAGCCAGCCTTCAGCTGTTAATTATGCGGAGGAGTTCCTGGCACATCAAGCGAGTTCAAAAATTCCGTCGCATAGTTGTATTGAGAATTCATCAGCAGAGGCGTCATTTTCTAAACTGACTCTCATGTAGTGAAAATTGACTTCACTGCTTGACTTGACGCCACAGAGGACCATTTCAGGCAAGCATTAACCTCATCAGCAGCCGTAGATTTCGGGATGACAGGTAGTGTTTGACGAAAATCTGCGGTGAGCAATTTCAAAGCCCCACCAAATAATCCTGAATCACCTCTATAATCCTTTCTAGATTAGGCTACTGCTCCAAAAGCTCGTTTATGCGCCATCATTCATCCCAAATTTGAATTTACATTCTGGCATTAATTTTGATGTCTCCGAATTTTTGTGCAGCAGCATCTTCAATGCGGAATGTGCAGTTCGACTACCTTCCAACAATGTGGCTGCAATTTCAGAACAGCCAGCGCTATATGTGATCTTGACCGAATAGTTGACAGAATCAGAGCGATTCAAATCTTAATTTATAGGTTGTCTTATAAAATTTCGTCAATTCTGAGGTAGCGTTTTTAAAAGGGTGAACCTGTGCATGTTGGGTCTGATTATTACGAATATTCATTTGCCAATTTGCAGCACGTGTACGCCGTCCAATTTTAGGTCATATAATAGCAAGCATTATTAAAAAAAAACTCACAAAGATCACTTGGGTAATTTTGCGCTTAAATGTTACTGTCTACGTTAACAGTGAGTTGTCAACATCTGTTGAGGCTCTGATTAATTTTCAAAAACAGATTTTCTTGAAAAGTTTAAACAATTGCAAAAAATGTCATCCAAATCGGTTTAGCCGTTCTCAACTGCCTATGTGAAAAACTATGATTTTATATTTTTATTTTATCCCGCAAACACTAAGTGATTGGCCTTGCGACTTGTTAGGAATACATACATACATTCATTTTCACCCGCGTTCTTTCCGTTAATAATGGTTGCTTCAATCAAATTCGGCATAATTCTTTTTACCGAAAGTCAAGTACCGTTGCAAAGTCGTGGTGGATTCAAATTACGCAATATCAGCAACTAACGGTCGCGGATATCGACGGTCATCAAATATTCTGAACAACCCCATCTGAATGAATAGCACTCAAGTGAATATAGTCATAGTCCTCTTATCGTAGCTTAGCCTGATTGCATCGGATAAACGCTAAACGTTAGGTCTAACATATGTACATACATGTCGACAGCGAATTGCTGGTAGAGCAAAAGGTACTTCAGAATGACATTCTCCTCATGTGTACAAATCATCATACGATACGCATAGTAATTCATTGCGCTTAGATTTAGTCGTTGATACGCCTGAAAATGCACATGTTCACCTGTTGGGGTACAATACACTCTTATGACAAAATTGGGCGTATCCTATGGCATTCATTCCAGTGCTGTTTTACTACTTATTTACTACTGCATTATTAGCGTATTTTTTCACGCTTGCAACTGTTCAATAATTCGTCTCTTTAACTGTTGTGTTCCCTGTATATTGCACCGCACATTCAGCTGATCCAACATCGCACTATGGGCCAAAAAAAAGAAAAAGAAAAACAATTGCATTATAAAGAGGATAGATTTAGCTATCTTTTCTCAAAATTATTAATTTAATTGTTAATTTTTTCATTCTATTGGCAAAAATAAAAATTTCCTGCCCCTATGCGGGCAGCTATAGTCACATCGAAATGCTTTTAATGTAACTAGTTGAACCCAAAATTAAAATTTATTTTAGAAACAAATTTAAAAAGAACCCATTTTTCACAAGTTGTGATTTAAAACTTAGGGTACCTCCTCCGATCAAATTGAAAAAAATTTAATTTAAATTTGAATATTTCGCTTTTACGTATAAGCTGTCCCAAATTCGCACTCTGATGTTTTTAATACCAAAATCAAATTTTACCTATAATTTAAACTAATAATTAAAAAAAAAGTTGTTATAAAACTGCCTAAAGGCAGGCAAGAAATAAAATATACAAGCATTGACAAGCAAAAGTACAATTTAAAAAATTTGTGACATACTTTTAGTGCCACATTATACAAGCATCTATAAAAATGATTTTTTTTGCTGAAAACTTTTAAAAATTATTGATTTAAAAACTTTTTTTTTTTGTTTTTGTTGTAATAGAGACCATATTGGAAGTAAAATACAAAAACTGCGGTAGATTGCTTCAAAGCTGTTCATGTAATTGAGACTTGAAATTTGAAATGAAAGGGCTTAAAACTAAAAAACTACTGCATTTAATGCAACAAATATATTTTTTTCTAATAAATATTATCTAAATATTCATTTCTGTAAAGTGAGATACAAATCGAATTGCTAGTTTTTTTTTAATGAAAAATAAAAAAAAAGGAAATATTTTTCAACTTTGGTAGGCATTATCTTCCTTAAAAAAATATATTTTCTTTTACTAATTTCTGAACACATAAAATTCAATGTTTTGAAAATGTGCATGCAACATTTCAAGTCTCTAAAGAATTTGTTTTAGAAGTTGCAGAATTTTGGCCAAAATATGAACTTTCTGGCCCATAGTGCAGTGGTTTATGATCACTTAATATTGTAAATGGTCTGCCAAATAGGTATGACCCGAAATATTTTGTTGCCCAAACTATGGTTAATATTTCTTTCTCGATAGAAGCGTAGTTTATCTCATATTCGTTCAGAGTTCGGCTGCCGAAACAAACACGCTTGTGATTTTGTAACATTAATTATTTTTTGTAATTACTCGCATCAGTTGTCAGAGAGAAATGTTTTCAAAAGTCAGGGCAGATTATACCTTTAATACCTTTATACTTTAATTTTTCAAATGACTCGACGTAATTTTTGCATTTTACGTTTATTTCTGCTCATTTCTTTAACTTAAGGGTCATAGGTTTAACCATGATACAATTATAAAAGGTAGTTCCGTCGGAAATTCTTCAATCATAGCAATGAGTGCGAGTGACAGGGGCTCAACCTAGGATCAACAGCCGAGTCGATCTAGCCATGTCCGTCTGTCCTTCTGCCCGTCTGTCCGTCTTTCCGTTTCTACGCAAACTAGTCTCTCAGTTTTGAAGCTATCTGAGTTAAACTTTGTAGTTAGCCTTCTATATACTCTCACTCGTATATATGTCGAAACGGGCCGGATCGGACGACTATATCATATAGCTGCTATAGGAATGATCTGAAAATTTAAAAAAAAAAAATGTGAACTTTTTCAGTTTCCAATAGAATTGGATCAAATTTTAGATATAGCCATTTTACTATACTCTACAATTTTGCATAATATTTAATGAAAATCGGACTACTATATCATATAGCTCCCATAGGAACGATCGAGAAATTAATACAATTAAATTTATAACTTTTTCAGTTTTCAGCTGATTTTCATCAAACTTGAGGTATAGCCAGTTTATATTATTCTTAAATTTTTTGTTAAATTTCATGAAAAACGGACGACTATATCATATAGGTGCCATACAAACGATCGTTTGATGTAGAGGAAAAATGCAAATCTGTGAATATAAAATTTCAAATATAATATGTATAGGTGAATGAAATGAAAGCAGGTATTACTTCATTGTTTTTTAACGCAAATATATATAATTTATATTGTATGGATTTCTATTCATGGAAGTTCTATCTGCAAGGGTATATAAACTTCGGCGTGCCAAAGTTAGTTTCCTTTCTTGTTTTTTTATAATTTAATTTTTAACAGTTTGGAGTTGGAAATGAGCCGTTGTTTTTGTTTTTGCGTGGCGAGCCTTTTGTTTAAATGCTTAATCCTAAAGTATATGCCCGTCTTAAAATAGATCAATTAAGTAGTTAAGCAAAATTACATGTTGCATGAGGGTTAATGTTTGAAAAAAAATTGTGCGCACACAAGCTTTCACTACGACAAACGAAGACGCACTGAAGCAAACCCCAACCCCTTTGACTGCCGAAGAGACTTCCTTCGTAATTGTATCGTGGGTTTAACCAAAGATTGTATAAGTATATATATATAAGTTATAAAGTCTTTGGTTTAACTACCTTGGCAAAGTCTTTAGTCCCGAAAATGATTTTTTTAGCTTAGGAGTCTTAGGTAACGGAAAGTTTAA